GAATCATGCGCTGAAACTTGATATTGAAGGTTAAAGATTCCTTAACGGTTATGTCGTCTATGAGAAGTCTCCATTGATGCATTAAACACGCATGTTTAATGATGTCATATTACCGAAAATTGACGCGAGGTTGCAATTTGTTGCTTAAGATAAAATGCAGCATTTATTACAATGACGTCTATGCTCGGCCTTTGCATTATCCGATGTTAGTGATGTTTAGAAGGTTAAATGAAGACTGCGAGAAGTTTCTTGAAGGCAGAAAAAATCAAAGCACAAACTGCAGCTCTCAACATGCTTAACGGTGAGTCGATGAAGACTGGTCAAAGAAATTATGATCAAAGTTGCTTCTTGAAGAAGGTGACCACGGCTATTTACTCTAAATTTTTGGCAGCGCTAAATGTCCTCATTACCTTCAATGCAATCTTTCGACTTATATTTCAAACAAACATACAAATGACGAAACACAACTTGTTGAGCACAGCTTAGCCGACTTGCATATAAAAAACTCGCAATTCCAGACTTCCCATTCATCCCGACTAACACCTTGTAGTTGTCTGTCGTCAAGAACGTGGAAAATTGCATGAACAAGATAATCACTATATCATATTGGTACTCTGTTGGCCCATATCAGGGTAGTGATGAATCACACGAGGTAGCACGACACATCCGCATTATAAATTCACAATTTCAGTTAAGAAACAGTACTAATTTTTGTAGCAATCATATGCTTCGACCGATTACTGCGTTGCTTGGACAATGGAGATTTACTTCAACACTTTGATTCGGATGGAAACATTCGATATAGCCATTCCAAATCATGAGCTGGATCCAACTTGGCTCCTCCATGTGCGCCTTTAGGCCAATTGATTTCCGGATTCATCCCAATAGGATAGATGTCGACACCAGCAACACCTGCCCAGTCAAAATCAATCAGAACGACCTGCTCTTGCGAGCCATGGAGAAACACATTGGGCGGCCGCAAATCTCCATGGACAAAATTGTTTTCACGCAACTCATCAAGCAGCAACTTCAGTTGGCTTTGGACATCGTCAGGATTAG